TATATATATACATACATATATATATATATATACACACATATATATATTTTTTTTGGATGAAGGTTGCTGGGATTAAGGGGATTAGAGTGATTATGGGAGCAGCTAAAGATGAGAGGGGCTCAGTTTTCTGCAACACTAAATTCTAAAAAGTACTTTGGCCTCTACTGTAGAGATCAGACCTCTATGGGGACCCTGGTTTGGAAAAGGGGCCCAGAAGTCTGGGATTCACTGCTGCCACACTGTCTCATCTAATACCTTTGGCACGGAGGCTTGCCAGAGAGAGAGCAAGGAAGCTTCAAAAACCTGTAATTCAAGATGCTGTTTTTGAGAAGCTCTCTCTGATTTTGCTTCTCCCTTTTTAAAAGTTTGAGCAACTTTTCAAGCTCAGCAAAAGGGGACTAAGTTTAATCTGCCTTGCCGTGTGGGAATTCGATTGAGTGGCAGTGTCTGAGCAGTGTATGTACAAAGCATGGACTTGCATTTCAGAATATTAGAACCAGTTCTGGGGCTTCCTATCAGTGGGTAGTTTCCCGCACTGTGAGTGCGTTGCCTTTGCCCACCTTGATACATAAACTTAAAGAAATGGGCAGCCCCTGAGAACTGTGAACTTCATGCTACGAAAAGCTGCTTGCCATCCTTGCTTTGTGACAAGAATATCTGTCGTTTTGCATTGTAAATTGCTGGCAAATGCTTTACAGCCAATAGTGTTGCCTTAAATTGTGCCCCTCCCAACATGCTTGATGTTTGGCCTGATCTCCAGGCAAAAGGAGTGAGATGAATCAAAACCAGTGAACTTTTTTTTAATGTTTTAAATTCCCTTTTAACCCAGTGTGTAGGTCAATCAGGAGGCATCAAGGGTTTTTCTTAAAAAGGCAAAAAAATAAAATTAAAAAAAGTTGGATTTCCATATTCCATTGTTTTTCAAGACCCTGAAATATTACAAATCCTGCATATGCTTTCATGCTAACTCATCTGGATAAAGAAATCAGTTATTCAGAGTTGCTTTTTTGACTGCCTAGTTCTAAGCAAAAGTATTGTGACTCACCGAAATTCCTTGAGGATCAAAGTCCTGCTGATGCCTCCTGATCAGACGTGGCCCTAACTCATTAAAAAAAGAACTGTAGCAAGAGCTGCACAGTACAAACCCAAAAAGAATTAAGCTCTATTTATTTGGTATCTAAGCTACATATGTTCCATCCAGCCAATGTTGCTTACTAAATACAAGCCCCTATTAAAGAGGTCACTTTTTCCCAGGGAGGGTGGGGGGAGGGGTTTCAGAAGGCTTAAACTTTTGACCAAAAAATCTTGACCCTGTACTGATGCAGCTCTTTCTCCCCCACCTCTGGCGAGATAAGAGGGATCATTCATTATAAAAGAAAAGCAAGAAAGACTCGCTCGAGTGTGAGGGTGACTAAACAAACAGCACAGTCTTCTTTGCCATCCTCAGACTGTGCTCTGCCTGGTGCCACATTGCCTGTGGGTCCCTCTTAAAGCACAGACTTTAAAATGAAAGTATTAACAGAAGTATAGCCTCTGATGAGGAGTGGCACTTAAACTATCTGGGCACCACTGTTGGACACAGTCTTGTATAGGCAGCTGTCCAGTTTTGGTGCTTGACTCTTGAACAGGAATTGTTAAATGGAAAGATGCTCTAAGGACTAGGTCAAAGCCTAGTCTTTTTTTTTTTTTTTTTTTTTAATCCCCCTCACAATAAGGAGCATTTTTATTATTGGAAATTGTTTTCATGTGCTTTCCAGTATTGGGTGTTTATTTTAAGTAATGGTAGTATCTTTTAAGTGGTTCATTTGGATGAAAACAGTTCTCTGTAATATTTAAATTACTTCCAGCTCATGGTTTAGCCTGTGGTTGTATAGTTGTGTAATGGCGTAGAGACTATTTCACAACTTGCTGCCTCCGGGCCCATGCTCTGTCTTTCTCTTCCCATGTATTCCAGTGGAGAAACTTTCTTGACTTTATCTTAGGAATGGAATTAAGTCTAGAATGATCTTCCATGGGAAGAAGTAAGAGAGAAGGAAACCTAAATATGTCTCCACAAACTTTTTTCAGGTTGGTCCCAGCATCATATGAGTTGGCCCCAAAGGCTGGGGGGAGGGGGGAGGTATTGGTTATCAGTATTTGTTTTCAGAATGAGATGAGAGCATCTTTCCCGTGTGCTTTGTGTTTGATACCATCGTGCTTGGGTTAGAACCAGACAACTCAGCACAAAGCCTTGAGTGTAACTTACTAAAATCAAAACATCTCATTCTGATTATTTGGTTTAATTTTTTTTCTTTCTCTTTTTCTTTTCTTTTTTTTTTAATAGGGGTGGGAGGGAGGTCACTGTGCCCCAAAAGGGAGGGTGTCTGCACTAAGGATTTAGAAACACTTTGGAAGCTCATAACCTCAATGGAAACTGCCTTTAGCTACTCTCCTGACCTTATAGATGAGTAACAAAAAGATGAAGTAAGTTCTTGGGAATCAAGCCATGTTATTTTAATTTGCTACTTTTTCCAGCATTCTTTGTATCTTAAAAATTGCAATTGTGGAATCATTTTCTGGCAAAAATACCTTTGTCAAGCAGAATTATTGGTCTCATGGGAGCTGAATTCAATTTTTGGTGAACTTTTAAGTGGACTTTGATGAGCTTGTAGTTCTACTTTATATTCTTAAGGATAGTTTTTAAAAAAAAAAACTCCCAGAGAAAATCCACTTTCCTTTCTTACTGAAAACTCATCTTTGGGGTAGAGAGTTAAGTGTCGAAGGTTTTAACAGTTGGTGAGGTCAGAGGGAGCTAGCCTGGCACCTGGATTCTGCCCCTCCACAACTGACAGATTCTAGCAGAAGTGTGTTTAAATCTCCAGTAGACAAAACTGGGCAGGGCAAGGGAGGGGGTAGGGTTGGGTTACTGAGATACAGGCTTCTGTATTTTAACCAGTGGTTTTGGGGGAGGGTACCTGGAGAAAACAAGTCACTGTTCCCTTTTTTGAAACAAAACTAAAATTTGAAAATGTTTTTTGTTTGGTAAAAATGGGATAGAATTCCAATGTCCCTAGCCACAAGGGACCAGTTCCACTGAGAAGTGAACAGTGGGGACTCAAAATTTTGAAAACATTTGGGGAAGGGGAAAATTGGCATTCTGTTAATTGGCAAATATTCCAGTCGGGCTTGTTTTTGTTGGGATTTGTTGTGTTGTATGTACCCATAGGCATGCAACAGTCTGCTGAGTTTATAAGGTTCAGAAAAGATTGATGCGATCTTGATTTTTGTTTATCTCAATAAAAGCCCACTGGAACCTCAGTTATGTGTGGTGTATCCTTAGCAGGCTATGCTGTTGAGTGATCTTTGCATCTGAGCATTTTACTGAAGTAATCATGTAGCAAACCAGTAAGATACTCTCAGTGCCACGTGAGCCCAGTTCTATAAAATCTGAGAATACCATCAAGCCTAGACCTCCCACCATCCATCCGCATTTTGTCTTGTCAGTTTTCACAGCCAAAACCAGAACCAAGATAGCCTTTGGAAAGATGTTGGTCCACTCTATGTCCAGGGGGATTGTCAGCAGTCCTCACTTCGCAGAAGAATTGCTCAGATGTTACAGAGAGCTGAATGTGCCCGCAGAAGTGACAGGAATGAGTCTAACAAAAGGAATGCAATTTGTATGCTGAGAACTACAAAACTGATGAAAGACCTAAATGAGAAGTTCAGACTTTAAAGCTGAACATATCACCCTAATCCCCAGCCCCAAAGAAATGCTTTGGTATAACTATCAAACCATGTGCAATACTAATATGCTGAAAACCGCAAAGGGAGCCAAAAAAACCAGGCCTGAAGAAGTGGAGAGGTGGCCGGCCGCATGATTCTGGAAAACAAAATGAGAAGACTCAAAATTCAGGACTCAAAGCTACAGCAATTCAAGTTGTAAATTCATCTCTCACTGCAGTTCAGTGTATGAGGATATGTAGGAGCACCTGCCAAATAGAATGGACATGGGTATCAGTTCATAAGCCAGTTGCATTTCCATCATCCTGCTAATTACAGAACCCAAATGTACCAGGTCCGTCTGCCTCTGGATCTGCCCCACCTCAGCTTAGTGTCGCCAGAGATGGACATTTATGAACCAGGTGAACATTTCCTCTGCCCTCTGACTTCCATTTGCCTTCGCTCACCAGGTATTCAGCCTCAGGAAATCGGAGGGGAGAGGGTGACGTTGGAGTTTGTGTTGCTCTAATTCCTTCCCTGCCAAGATTGCCTCTAGCTGCCCTGTCAAACTGAAGGTCTTTGCAGCTTTGTACCTTTTTTCCCTCCATTTTCTGGTAATTGTCCCCTCCACTTGGTAGGTTTCCCTACACCTGTGTCTTAGTAGTCCTTATATAAGTAAACTCCCTAAATGTACTGCCTATTACAAGTATGCCATTTGTTTCTTGTTGGGACTCAGAGTAATTGGTAGCAAAATTGGCTCCAGGAGACAGACTCAAGTTGAGATTCTGGGATTGGATTAGTTATATTTGATGAACTACTTACAGGGGTTGGGGGAGGGGAGGCGGGATGGGGCATGAATAAACCATGGCATACAGTGGCATTGCAGTTCAGATTCTCACCAGTGGTACCATGGGATGAAGTGCAAGTGAAAGATGCATTGGGAAATGGGCTGTGACAAATTATTAGAACAATAGGCCCTCCAGTGCATATGCAAGAAAAAAAATTATATGATTAACATAAAAAGAACACGAAGGCCTCCTTGGGAGTGAGGGTCCCTTATCGGTAGATAACTGTCCTTAGCTAATTGATTAGTGTCCAGAGAACTGAAATAGGTGGCAGTCTTCTAAAGTTTTACTTGAATTGTATACACACAAAAGCTCTAGTAGATCTGAGTAACAAAATTATGACTTGAACCAGTCTTTTGAGCTCTGAAGTT